AGTAGTAGTAGTAGTACTAGTATTTGCAGCGTGTGGCAGTAGTAGCAGTAGCAATATATTGCAGCAGGCGTAGTATAGATAGCAGCAGCAGCTATATATATTAGCAGTGGAGGGATTCGATGGTGCTACATGTTATGTAGCAGTAGTGCCAGTAAGGGTTCACAGCTGATATATCGTGGTAGCAGTAGTATATATATATATATATAGGATAGCTAGTGGCAGTATAGCCGATAATTGAAGTACTTACCCCACTCCACCTCGATCTCCAGGTCGCAGCTCTGCTGGCGGTCCACCGGCGCTGCCGTGGCTGTTTCCTGCAAGCGGAAGCATATACTATGTTAAGGCAGATAGAGGAAAGGGGTAGTGTAAACTATCCTTGGTCTAATTAGAACAACTATAATTCTGATTGTTGAGGTACCCATTTGGGGTTTAGGGTTTGGGGATTCGAGCCTCGGGTGTCCTGCTGAAGCCTATGTTTTGTCGGGGCAGTTCCGGGCCTCCACTTCAAGGGTTAGCTTCCTCACACCTTCTTCCAGTGCATCCTCCAAGCTACCACGTGATGACATGGTCGCAAGAGTCGTGACACTCGGAGCCCGATTGGCCTCAGGGAGAATTATCTACAGCACGAATGTATATACGTATGGAGAATCAGACACATAGCCAAGCAGCCGGAGGTGGGGTAGGGGTGCATCCCATATCCATATCTGAATCTTGGCCAGGCTTCCTGGCACTGCCTTAGATCGCAGCAATGTTGGAGGTTTTGGGATTTCACGTATGCAAATGAAGCACTCCAGGCAAGAAGGAACACGGTTGCAACCCAGCTTCTAGCGGGTGTCGACCCGTCACCAGAAAACAAGATTTTCTTCGGTGTTGCTGTAACAGCACAATCCTTCAACTGCTTGGGCTGTGGAGTAGAGGTGGATGGTGTGCTCAGCATGTTCGGGGATCGAAGGCGCTTGAGATCATCGTCACCACCCTTAAGCTTCGGAGCAGCAGCCGCCATCACAGCCCTGGCCATAGCCTTGCGTTTAGCAGCAGCTGCCATAGCTGCCATATGCACCTGCCAGGCCCCCTGCAACCCCCTAGAACCTAGAACCCTGAAGCCCTAAAACCGACCAGACAGCTGCTGGTGCCCCCCTTGAATCGCTGGTTGCGGTTGAGTCTTGATAAACAAAAACTATAATTAAGTTAGATTGAGGGGCCATGGCTGTGTAGGGTACCCAGTGCCGCTTTACTTTCTGGGAGTTGAGGATCCAGGATATTGTGTATCGAATACATACATATATACTTGTATATGTATATATATATACATACATACATACATCTGAGTTTCTCTCTCTAGCTATATCTATATACATATATAATATTTACACTTTTATTATATATGGATCATGCTATCATACATAAGTAAACTATATCATATAATATATAAGATTGTAACACTGACCCAATGGATTTACGACACAAGCCCCGTACATGCACCCAAAAAAACAAACACCTTACCTTTCCTCATGCCTCATAATTATAATTTTTAAAACAGTACCCGACAACCCGCCCGCCCACCCACCCACCCACCCACCCACCCAGGCCCACCCCACCGACTCACACCCACCAGTAGGCCTCCCGTTCCTGGCAGTGCAACACCTGCAGATTCCCGCAGGAGCCCGCAGCAACCCACTCCCCAGCGGGCACGTTAGCGCATGGCCCCGCTGTCATGCGCCGGCACCCGGACGCGTTGGCCTCAAGGAAAGGCTGCTGCAGGAAATGCTACCACCTGCCCCACACCCGGCCAACGGTGCGGGGGAAGCCTTTTTTTGTCCGGTGCCTTGGCTTCCCCTCGGTAGGGCGAACCACCCCCACCTCCCCAATATATTAGTTCCATTGCAATATCCCCAACAATAATATATTAAGAGTAGAACCTGTAGTTCCTATATGTATTATAATTATTACAGAAGCTTAAGATGTGATATATTATCCCCGAAAACACCTGAGACTGAGCTATACTCCCATCTGGCCTCACCAGCATCAAAGTTTGGGCCACCAGCCCGCTTGGAATCAGCCATGACTCTGAGATGTTGTTAAAGTCTGTGCACTGCTGCAACATGATATGACACCCGGACATTTTAAGATGGAGTCAATCTGGCTTGACCTTCGAAGACCAGGCCGGCAGCGACCCATGTGCAAACAATATTGACCCTCGAACCGCCTTCAAAGTCATGGGATTATGCAGCACCACACGGATCACGCAGAATCACGCGGAATCACGCGTTACTTCTCTAGCCTATATATATTTTAATAGGACGACAAAACGAGATTCACGCAGAATCACGCGGAATCACGCTGCTCCGGGGCCCTCGGCACAGCTCCCTGCAAGCTTAGCTCCACTACACAAACCCCACTGAATTGGCAAACCTGGAGAAATTGTGTCAAACAAGTGCACAATATGGAAGCCTAGCACCGAGACTTGTTCCCAGCGACTTGCAACAGCCAAACAATCCCAGCTAATTTGCACTCTTGTGTGTTCAAGCCAGCACATCTATACATAGAATGCCTCACCAGAACACCATCAAGGAAGGATAGCTACAACTATGTTGTGTTCCATCATCCTACATTTGCCCCTGGTCTGGCATCTACACACTTGAGTAGCAGAAGCCTAGGTATGCACCTACGATGCTGCTGCGGCTGCTGCAGCCCTGGCTTGCTGAACATCCCGCCCGTGCTCGATGAGCCACCCGGTTGTGAAAAGGTCGGGCATGTACAAGCCACTTAACTCCTGGCTTCGGAGGAACTGCTCAACCGGGGCCAGGTTGGCATAGTCGTAGATATCCTTGGACAACCATTAAGAGGTTGTCATGGTAGTTGTATTCATAATGTTGCATATGCGTAAATAATGCCTATCAATATCTGTATACTTATCTATATCTATATCTATATCTATGTATTTCTATAGCTATCTTTATATACCTTTCTATATATCTCCCTGCCTATATAGGTACAGAGGTACATATCATACACACATATACGATATTCAGTTACACTCATCTCGTATCAATAACCCTGCTACTACTACTACTACTACTACAACTACTACTACTACTGCTACTGCTTCTGCTACCACTACTTCTGCTACTACATCTACTTCGCAGAGGAGTCCAAGAATGGAGCCCATTAGGACCCTGTTCCCACATGATTATATGCAACTGCCACATGTACTTGCACATTACTACTTGTGTGTCTGTGTTGCAGCAAAATACATCCTACCCATACGATCAAGACTCAACTGCGACTACGACGACTCCTATAGCCACTAGATATATTCATAGTTAACCTACTACACACATAAGTATATGCAAAGAAACTACGACATGAGCCAGTGTATGATTGTTGTGCTCAGGTGACTATATGCAAACTCGTAGCATTCAAGTTGTCTGTTCCAGGGGCTTTGTGAAGGTGTGGAATCTTGGTGGTAAAACGATTGGAACCGGGTGCTTAAGGCCTAAGCTGCAATTCAGGAGGCCCCGGCTGAGAGAAATTCTTTGGACTTATGGGGGATGCACAATTTGGAGAGCTTCGTTGACTTGGGGTTTTGGTTCGTTGCCTTGCTACCTAAACCCAAACTCCTCTCTTCGTCAACACTCCTTGACCATGAACCTGAAACCTTAAACTCTCTACCACAACCGCCAGCCAAGGCTCTAAAATGAACAAAGGCCCGAATAGGTGTGCAGAGTATGGGTCATATAAGCACTCGTGCCCATGCTGTAGCATTCCGAAATGTCAGGTTCTTATTACAAGGCATTTAAGTTTAAAGTATCTCTATATCAGTACTATCCAAACCCAAACACTGCATAAGGCTGTGTGATCGAAGAGGACGGGGCGAAGGGTTTGGAAGATCAGGCTTTTGGAGTTTGGTGATGATATATCGAACACTGTAAGGTTTAGGGTCAGAGGCTTCTTAGGGTCAACAGTTTTAAGTGTTCATAGCATGTATATACATACATATATATATATATATACATGCACCGTTAGTAGTATATGTAGTGTAGTAGTAGTAGTAGTAGCAGCGGCAGCAGCAGCAGTAGTAGTACGTAGTAGTAGCAGTAGTAGTAGCAGCAGTAGCAGTAGCGGTAGCAGCAGCAGCAG